AGGCAGATTGTCGGAGCGCTGGTCATGTCAGTGTTGCGATATGGTTTATCGGTGTATGGATCGTGTGGGGAGACGCAGCTTTGTCGACTGCAGAAAGTGGTAAATTTTTGTGCGCGTGTCGTATCCGGTCGGCGGCGTCGCGATAATGTTGTGGCAGTCATTAAGGAACTGAAGTGGTTGACTGCCAAACAGTTAGTAACGTATCACACTTACCGGGGTTACATGAGCAAGTAAATGCGTATCAGGAACGGATTTTCCTATTCGCTCACTATTGTAGTCCGTTTGTAATGCGTATTAACTCTGCTCATGTAACCCCGAGCACTGTGAGCGCTGTAGAGCGAGCGCATCATCACGTCCGGACAGCCCGAATATCTCCGAGGTACACTTGGCCAGCGGGCTAGCCAGCGTCATAGACACGACACCAGGCGCGCCTACTATTTTACACTCCCATCCATTCGTACGGAAGCAGGCCGCCGTAGGCTCTGCTACCGTGGCATAGCTCGTTTGAACGAGCTGGGAGTCGAGCCAGGTATTCTGTCGTACCGCTATAAAGTCAAAAATGTGCTGCTGGCCACGCCACCGACATGAACGTATGTTGAACGAATGCATGTGCGTGAAAGAGTTATGTATGCGCTTCATTGTTTGTATTTTCGGTTTTTCATTGACGTGAACATGTGAAAAGCCCCTCCTCAGAGGGGATCCTGTTTGAATACATCTGTATCTGTATCTGTATCTGTATCGGCCCGGCCCGGCCTGTAACGCTTTTGAGAGGCTTATATCTCAGCAACCACTGGACCGATTGGCCTGCGGTCTTTTTTGTTGGATAGCCCCATCCCTTTTACCCCGTAATTGACTTCTTTTAAAACATCTCGGTGACCGTCGTGGCAAGTGCCACGTGAAAAGTCAAGGGTGTTCAAGCAGTTTTCCAAAAGAAGTGATTTTGAGAGGCTCATATCTCAACAGCCACTTGGGCGATTGTCTTGCGGTAATTTTTGTAGGGTAGCTGCATCCCTTCTACCAAATGTCGGATACTCTTGATCTATGTGAGTGACCCCCAATGCACGTGCAAAATACAAAAAGAAGAGGTGCCAAATTTGTTCTCATTTTAATAACTCGGTAATTACTGGGGTGATTTCGCTGAAACTTGGCATACAGGTAGGCACCCACCAGGCAATGCATTCCCATGTGTTGCGATTAGGGTGCTACTGCACGTGCGCACGTGCAGGGGGCGTTTCCAGATCTCGAGAACGGCTGGGCCGATTGCGCTCAAATTTGGTACACGATTGGGGACCGGTTAGTAGGGTGCCGTGCAAAAGTCAGTTTGGACCCCGTTTGCACGTGCGCACGTGCAGAATGCCGCTTCCAGATCTCAGGAACGGCTGGGCCGATTGCGTTCAAACTTAGCACACCGCTAGCGACCGGTTAGAAGGGTGCTTTGCACAAGCCTGTTGGAAGTACCCTCTCGCCCTTCTGCACGTGCAGGGCTCACTATCTCGCTCGCTCGTCCTTCGCCCAAAAGGCGCTTTACTGGTTATACCTCAGGTGACAGAGTGGTGTTTATTACGAGCGAGCGAGCGCAGCGAGCGAAGCGAAGTCTTTTCAATACCAGTACAACGCCTTTTGGGCGAAGAACGAGCGAGCGAGGTAGTGAGCCCTGCACGTGCGGAAGGGCAAGAAGGTACTTCCAACGGGCTTGCGCAAAGCACCCTTCTAACCGGTCGCTAGCGGTGTACCAAATTTGAACGCAATCGGCCCAGCCGTTCCTGAGATCTGGAAGCGGCATTTTGCACGTGCGCACGTGCAAACGGGGTCCAAACTGACTTCTGCACGGCATACTACTAACTGGTCCCCAACCGTGTACCAAATTTGAGCGCAATCGGCTCAGCCGTTCTCGAGATCTGGAAACGCCCCCTGCACGTGCGCACGTGCAGTAGCACCTTAACCGCAACACATGGGAATGCATTGTCTGGTGGGTACCTACCTGTATGCCAAGGTTCAGCGAAATCGCCCCAGTAATTACCGAGTTATTAAAATGGGAACAAATTTGACACCTCTTATTGTTGTATTTTGCTGTTGCACTGGGGGTGACCCACATGCATCGAGAGTATCCTATATTTGGTAGAAGGGATGCTGCTACCCTACAAAAATTACCGCAAGCCAATCGCCCAAGCGGCTGCTGAGATATGAGCCTCTCAAAATCACTACTTTTGCAAAACAGCTTGAACACCCTTGACTTTTCACGTGGCACGTGCCACGACGGTCACTGAGATGTATCAAAAGTAGTCAATTACGGGGTAGAAGGGATGGGGCTACCCAACAAAAAAGACCGCAGGCCAATCGGTCCAGCGGTTGCTGAGATATAAGCCTCTCAAACGCGTTACAGGCCGGGCCGGGCGTGCGTCTGTCCGTTACCGAGGTCCCGACTTGGTGGTGCTTTGCGTGCAATGGCCAGACCATTGCACCTAACCCGGTGAAATTTGCACAACTTATAGATCAAGGATGCGCGACGTGCCTTTGAGGGGTCTCAGCTCGATCGGGTCGATAGGGAGCGCGTGGCGCTTGCTCAAAAAGTGCAAATTCGCGTCATAGACTTTACATGTATAAATCGGCGTGCGAAATCGCGCGAAAACGGCTCATTTTGGCCGACACGGGTCCAGTCCCCGTGCAATATCTTGGTGACCAGGGGTCCGACCGGCACGGGGAAAACAGCATCGTGTAGATAATTGAATGGGCAATTGAATGATGTGCGATACAGAGGATAGCACGCGCCACGTGCACCGGGGAGGGCACTTTTGTTGAAAAATTGCGGTTTTGGGCGGATTTTGGAATTGATTTTATTTTTAGGTGACCGTTAAACAGAGCGAGTTGGAACAACGCCTGTTGGCAAGAGAAATGTACCGCCTATCATATAAAAATTGTGAAAAGCTAATTGATCCAAATCAAGGTGGTACGAATCACGGGAGAAAATGGTGTTTGTCAATTTTTGCCACTTTGTTTATCAAAATGGTTTTGCTCCATAATCTGATATCTTTGGCAGTTAAAAATGGCATCGTTGGAAAGAGCATTCAATTCTGTCCAAGGTTCAGTCTTTATTTTTGCATGATGGGCAAGAGTATTCTTAGAAATGTAAATGTTCCAAACCATTACATTGTCATTTTTAGCGAAATTCATCGATGGCCCTCAAAAGACTTCACGCCAGTTTTCGAATCATTCTTAAGTAGAACGCATGATAATACGAAACGGGCACCTCAATGCGATGGATCTTTTTGTTCAATTACAAAATGTTTGGCCGTCATAAAACAATCGAACGAAATGGAAACCAACCGAATCGACACAGGACCAACCTAACACCCACGGGTCAAACATTACCCTTCCTCGCATTGCGGAGCACGCGGGTCACCCTTGTTATAAACTATTATAAGCATTCCTACTGCTCAGAATGGTCAAACAATAATTGACATGTAATTACGATAAAGGATTTAGGATTTCGGTAAATTAGGTACCTACCTTTAAACGTTTTTTCGTTTTTTTTTTCTTTCTTAAAAAGCGTTTTTTCTTGAAAAAAAAACGCATCTAATGATAACTGATTGCGCTTCATGACACAGATCTAAACGAATTAAACAGTACCATATACATGTGATGAAACGTAAACTAATTAAGAGAGGAAGACTGTGAAAAGACTCCCAAACTTTCAGCGTCTGTTTGGTTATGTTAATTATCTGGTTGTTGTTTATGCTTTCTGCCTGAAAGTGGTATCAAAAAACTTTTTTCGATGGCTAAAATTTAAAATAGCAGTTTATTTTTTAAAATAAATCTTCAATGGTCTTTTTAATTAAAAATTGAAAATCTAAGTTTTTAGCAGCGTCGACATCTCCCATATCTTCTTTTTCAAAAACTTTTAAAAGTGCCTTTACGCCAGCATATCGATATAATACACATATTGAAAATTAGCAAACACTTAAGCTTTAGACATTAAATAATAGATGGTAGGCAAAATCATGCGAGTCAGATCTTATAGATGTCGCTATAGGAAAGCTGAAGTGCTATATGTAGTAAGGGGCATCTTTTTAGGTAGGTGTTAGTTTTTGTTTTCGAACTGTTACGACCTCAGTTTGAAATTTTCTCAGCTAAGAGCCCATCAGGCGACAAATTTTTCGTCTACAAGCTGGACCCCCCCCCCCCCCCCCTCCTGACCCCCTGAAGGAGCTCGTCCCGATTTCAGGGGGTCCTGACCCCCTCCCCCTACCCTCCCCCCCCCCCTACCCCCGAGATCTCCACCTATGCCGGTCCCCCCCCCCCCCCGGTTTCTCCAGCCCTGCCAGTAAACCACCATTTCGTTCATGCTCAGGATTCTAGATTATCGGGAACAGGGCCGGGCCCAACACCTGCACAGTAAGAAAATGCTCGACGTGGACGAGTCTTTCGGCAGAATGCGCTAGCATTCATCGATACAACCCCATCATCGACCAATCTGGATCCATTAAGTTATCTTTAGAGGTTTTTATATTTCGCCAGGCCGTTTGAAAACTGACCAGGCCGTTTTCAAATTACCTAGAACGTTTACAAACGGCTGGTGTTTTCAGGCCGTTTTTAAACGGCCTGTAACATATCAATGTGTTTGTCCATGAAATGGGGAGCACACTGGGTGGTCGCAAATAAACGCATATCAAAACGCAGTGTGTTCTGTTTTACATGCAAATATAATGGGAGAACGAACTTTTCGAATACCCTGTATATTGTGGGAAAATGACGTTGCAAAACTTTTGAGACCCGCTGTACGCCAAGCTGGCACCGGTGGGTGCGCGGCGCGCGGCGCGCTGAATGCGCCCGCCGAGCGGCAGGTGTCGGGCGGCCGCTCAGCGTCCGGCGCCGGCGCGCGCCGCGCCGCGCCGCGCCGCGCCGCCGCCCGAGTCTGGTATTGATCGCCGGCGGCCTAGCCCCGTGAGCTGGCGCCGCCGCCGGCTCCGGGACGCTGCGCTGCCGGCCGGCCTGCCCAACTCGCCGCCGCCGCCGGTGCTGACAGAGGTGCAGTGACGCTCACAGGGAGGTGCCCGCCGCCGCCAGCAGTGATCCCACTCCAGTGCAGTGGCGCGCAGTGGCCCGCCGACCAGTCCATGCCGCCGCGCCTGCCACCGGTACCCACAGCAGCAACCAGTCGCAGCGCGCCGGCAGTGGTTGCTGGAGCGGCGTGCGGCAGCCAGGTAGGTGCTCAATGCGCAGCCTCACCGGGAGACCTGGGCCGCCAGCTGCGGCCGGTCTGCACGGCCGGACCCCCTGTCGGGTGTCGGAGTGCGGCAGTCGGCAGGCTGCCGACACAAGGCTGCCGTGGCGGCACGTTCACTGAGCAGCAGGGGCGTCACTTTCTATCTCTTTGGGGGGGCTTGAGCCCCCCCCCCCTTTGGTAGATTGAGCCCCCCCCGCCCCTGGGAAGCTTAGAGCCCCCTCAGTATTAATTTTTAATTATTGACAAAACAAGCACAAACAGCAGAACACCAACATAATGTTTTTCTACTTTCCATCATCATGAATTTTCAGGTTTGAGGATGAGCACTGAGCACTGAGGATGCTGACAATCAGACGTTGACCTAACCCGGTGACACAGCTTAGCGTCGTCCGCAACGTTATTTATTTACGTTATTTATTTACGTTATTTAACCCGCGCCTTGCTAGTGGCTTGATCTTTCCGCTGAGTGCTGGGGGGAGGGGGGGCGTTTTCACGCCCCCCCCCCCCGTCTAACTCGGCTCCTGGGCCACGAAGCGACACGCAGTAAGCGGCAATCGAAAGAGCGTCAAAAAATAAGGAAGAAAACACTTCAGTATTTTTTTTTTAAGGTATGGTGCGCTAACGGGCATACACTGTGTAAACTGCTGTAGGTGAAACGAAAGCAAATACTTTTCAATAAAAAACTGCGATTGCAACATGATGACAAATAGTTAGATCAACTCCAAACCAAAACAGATGCGGCTTTTTGTGACCCCGCATTAGAAGCAGCAGACTTTGGGGATCATTGCCATGTATAATTTTTGCCATTTGTATGAAATGCACGCACGCTAGCGGCGTTTGAAGTTGCGAGTTTCTGACAGTCATTTTACGACATAGAAAATGTCAGGACTTCTGACAATCATACACGAGGCCGGATTTGACAAAAACATGAAAATCATGTTTTTTCAGACACCCGAAACATTTGCCTGACTTACCATATTACGATTTATTCGATTAGGTGAACTTGAAATTTGGGCCTTTTCGGTATTTATGGCCACTCGTGAACCCCATTTGCATCACTGTGCAGTACTGCAAGGTGTACCACAATGGCTCACCGTCGAGGGCGCCAAGAGTGTTGGACACTGGAAGAGGCGCCTTCGGCGCCCGGAAATGATCGTGGAAGGAGCCAAGGAAGGCGCCCGCTAGATTTGGGAGGGGCTTAAGCCCAGTGTGCCCCCCCCCCCTTGGCTGCGCCACTGTCCAGAGGGCATAACTCTAAACTCTAAAAAAATCTAAAAAAAGCCGTTTTCATGAAAAAATGTTTTTTTCGGCAATAATGTTTGACTCAAGAGAGTCACGGCATTCATTTTGACAGCATCGTGTTCCTCTCGTCGAGACACGTCGAATGCGCTATTTTTTGACATTGAAAGGTCATTTTGAAAAGTTTACCTCAGGTCAAGGTCATGACCTGTCACCTGACCGAAAAGGGCCATGCTGCATATAGGTCGATCCGTATTGTCAAGCTGAACACATCTGACATGTTTTCACCGCTTTAGCGCGGAAAAAACACGCTAGTTTTTTTCCGCGAAGCTCTAGCTCGATCAGGGGCCAAACGGCAATGGGGGTCCGTCGTGGTCAGCTTCCGGCAAGGGGGGTCAGTTTCACCGTCGTGAGGGTGAAGCTGACTGAAGGCACGGTGGTCAGCACCACCATGCCTCCTAACATCCATTATTTCAAAGGCTGATAGAGAAAAAGATTCGTAAAAAGCGGTCGACTGCTCCGAAAAATGGGTCCTTCCAACAATGCCTAGGCCAATTTTTTATTCTCTGCTTACTGTTCCATTGTCCCTTTGTAAAATCACAGAAATAAAATCCAAATTACTCGAATTGCTTGCACCGTTACCTCGCGTTATTGTGCAGTGCTGCAAAGTCGATTGATCGACTCATGACAACAGGTATACCTCCTAAAACCCGCAGCACGGTAAAACTGGCTTGTTGTATGAGCCTTTTCTTTTGACTGAATGTTTCTTGGCCAGTGGCGGATCCAAAAAGCGGTCCTGGACGCTGCATGTTGGGGATATCCATAAAGTTTTTTTTTCCAATTTCCAAAAACTCGCCGAATTTCGATTCCTTACGCACTGCTGAGTGCTGAGCACTGAGCAGTTTAAAACAAACTCAAACTTCTACGATATAAGCTATCCGGTTGAAAGGGCCTCAGTTTTTTATATGCCAGGCTACTTGGGTGGGACTAAATGCTTACTTCGAAATCTAAGCTGCGTTGCGGCATTGGCGGTTATGTGCGGCGTGTATGCCGCATGATTAGTAACCGGCGACCACTAAATTAAAGACTCAAACGCTCCGACCGGTTCTCAATGAATAACACTGCATACCAAAAATGCCAACCGCTCTCGTCATAAGATATTTAGCTTTAAATAACTAGGTTATCTATATCATCATTTTGAACCAACTTACTACTTTCAACTTAACTCACTCATTCCTTCCTTTGTTGGCTCCAAACAGTCTTTCGATTGTCTGGAAATCGTATGCTAAATCCCGTACCTGTATGAGACTGGTGCATATAAAGGCCGATAAAATAATTTGAATAGGCTCTGGCATGCGATTTCCTGGCTACCCAAAAAAAGTCTGTTTCAGTCTTGCTATCAAAACATGACCTCGCCCGCACAGGGGGGGGGGGGTTGATGCAACCCCCCTAAGGTTTTTCGCGAATAACTCGCTTAAAAAGCGGCTGATCGCGACGAAACTTTCAGTACCCTCGCATTGATCAATTTAACACCCACCCTGAAAATTTCATGACCCTGACCAAAATGACCTTTGACCTGTGACCTACTTTCCGAGACCATGTTTGGCCGGAATCGCGATTCGGCGTATGTCGGCTCGCATTAGCCGCGCGTTTGCAAGCTTTTCGTGGTTTCAAACGTTCAAACATGTGATTTGATGTTGGTCCCATGCACAAGGGTGGATGTCAAGGTCACCTGAAGGTCAGGTCAGGTCATTGACCTTTGGTGACCTCGGGTGACCTCGGTTCACTTTTTCGAGTTTTACATGTTTTTAGGCTAGTTTTTAGAGCTGATTTCGAATTTAGCAACCATTTGAACATTTACGAAGTAGTGTTGGTGCATTCGTAACATGTTACGAAGCTGCAGAAGCGGTGACACGTATTACGAATACCCATCACGACCCCTACCGGTTGACCTGACCTGACCTGACCCGATGCTGGTCTAAATGCTTAAAGACATCGTCTCCGATCAAAACTAACACGATATTCGTGATCAGCACCCCGGAAAACCCCATGGCAGCCACACTACGACGTTCTAACAGGTCCCAATTTTCCCGCCTTTTGGGTCATTGACCTGACCTGGAAGGTCAACCGATGACCTAGGACCTTAAAATTGGGTATCATCGGCTTCCTCTCGTCACGGGCAACACGCTGGTTTTTTCCGCGAAGCTCTAGCTTGATCAGGAGCGAAACGGCAAGGGGTTATACCTTATACGTTCGCGGCTGGAAAAAACACCAATACGGGCGAGGGTCAAGTTGAAAGTATTAATTTGGTTCAAAACGATGATGTAAATAAGTTAGTTATTTAAATCTAAATATCCTATGGCGAGAGCGATGGACATTTTTGGTATGCAGTGTTATCCATTGAAAACAGGTCAAAGCTTTTGAGTTTTTAATTTAGTGGTCGCCGCTTACTAATCATGCGGCATACACGCCGCACATAACCGCCAATGCCGCAACGCAGCTTAGATTTCGAAGTAAGCATTTAGTCTCACCCGGCTACTTGACTTGGTGATCAGATCTTAGGTGTTCTGCACCAACTTGTTACACAGGCTGCAAAAGTTATGTTTTAGAGCTGTTTTGCCAAGTGATTTTGCCAATTTTCGCGCCGCCAATTCATACTCGAGTCAAAAAAAGATCGTGAGTTGTGACCCTCATTAAGCACCCTCATCAAGCATGTGATTAGGCACCTTCACACGCAGGCGCAGGTATGTTATTTATTTCTGTCTGACTGTATATGCATTACCTACCAAACTGGTGGCACATGTAAACATTTGTACCTCGTAGAAGACAAAAGGCTTTACCGTTAACGGTGTCAAATTGAAACTGACTTCAGACTGTAGGTACTGTGTAGGCATTTGGCCCATAACATTAGACAGATAGTGCATCGGCCTGAAAAAGTACAGTAGGTAACAAAATCTACATATAGGTTTAAGTTTTTAGCCGGCCGATCCGTCCCCTGTCGAAAACCCGTAGGTAGGCGTACGTACAAACATCCCAAACATGGACAGTTTTGCTGCTGACTGCTGAGCCCCCCCCCCCCCCTGACAATATCGCAGCGGCGACAGCGGCGCGCTGCCTTGCCCAGCCGCGGCGGCTCTCCCAGCCGCAGACCCGCCGCCTGGCGGTGACCTGCGGAACTGTACACGGAGAAGAGGGCACCCCTGGCGCTTTGCCGCGTGGTGTGATCAGGATCGGATACCTCAATGCCCAGTCGATCATTTCAAAATTGGACGATATCATGATTCTGCTACGTGACCAGTAGCTCGACATTTTGTGCCTTTCCGAGACCTGGCTGTCACCGCAGATTTCAGACCAGTTTCTGGCCTTCCCGGGCTACAGCGTGCTGCGACAGGACCGAGAGGAACGGCGCGGTGGCGGCGTCGCCATCCTGTGCCGCTCGGAGATCGAGGCACAGCGGATGTTGATGCCGGCGGGCGGCGCACTGGAGACCCTGTGGGCGTCGGTGAGCTGGCGGGGCGGTCGCCCGACCACCGTCGGCGTCGTTTACCGTCCTCCCGACAGTCCGGAGGCCAGCAGCTTGGAACACCTGCAGGAGCAGCTGAGAGCCGCCCGCTGCCTCGGCCGGCCCGTGTTCCTGCTGGGAGACATCAACTTGAATGTGCTGGACGCTGCCTCGCCGCGGATCTGCCGCTACAATAGCCTGCTCTCCGAGCTCGGTTTAGTGCAGCTGGTGAACCA